TGTGAGGACAATGGAACTTGATTTGAGTCACTGTATCCTATTTGGCATTGATATGATGATAGCCTCACCTGCAAAATGATTGACGTAATCATATCCACTTCAAGGGTTTGTTGTGGGAGTTGAATGAGATTAAAATATGTCCATATGCCTTGGAATAGTTATCCTTAACAGAGTGGCTAGTACATGGTAATCATTCAACAAATTTGGACTGTTTTTTACTTATAACAATAGTAACAAAAGTTTATAAACATCCAAGTTAATATTTTCCTACACATGCTAGTTAAAATCAAACTCATTATTTTCAGAAGTAAAGCAACTTTGAGAAACAAAACATGAGGGCTGCCATATAGTTTATACTACAATGTTATGGGAGGTCTGGCATTGGTTCTTGTTCTTCTTCCAAAGAGTTCTCCAGTCGGCTTGATGTGGGTCAAAACTTAAAACCAGAGTGGTGGCTTTACTATGTTTTCAGGGAAAAGAATTGCCATTGCACACATTAGAATCCCATTTTCCATTGACCCAAGAAGTGTCACTCTGCTTCTTGAGAAATAAGCCATATAAAGCATGTTGATATGGGTGTCATAAATCTCTTAACTTCCCTAGTTGTTATCCTGGTAAGCTACATGTTCTGTATTTCAAGGCAAAACTACATGAAGGCAGAAAAAATTGGCAGAATGAACAGTGCATGTGGATATAAACATCAGTTCTTCAGCAGACAAAAATGTATGTCCTTCATAAAACATTGCAATTCCATTTTGTTTCTCAGAATCTGTATGTCATACTTTACATTAGGAAAACTTTCAGTAATTTTCTAATCAAGTCAGAAAAATAGCTCGTCAGCTTGAGCTTTTGCCTACATTTTTTTGCTCAAATTTTGGGTGTGCCTGTTCTGATGGGCCCAAAGTCTCATGCAAACTAACAGAAAGACTCTTCATGTGAGAGGGCATGAACTGAGATGCTGCTGCAGCCATTTTGGCAGGAGGGACCATGACGTTTCCTTTTTGGATCTAGGACTTTCAGTTATAAGCAATAAATCCAATTCAAACTTACTTAAGTAAAAATTTAAGTGTGTTATAAATGTAACTGGGTATCTCAGGAAACCAAGAGCAATGGAAATGCCAGTATTCAAAAGAGCTGAGATCTAACTGAGCTTAAAGAAGTCCTGGCAGGAGAGTCAGGCTTCCAGTACCAAGATTTCTCTTCTCCATCTTGACTGTTTCCCTAAATGGTAGCTTCCTTCCTTCTTATCAGTGTACACTGGGTTCTTCCAAATGACAGAAGACTGCCTTTGGTTTTTTAGCTTTATAGAGCTTCAACCAGACAAAGGGAGAATCACTTTTTTAGTTCTAATTCCAACATCTTGGAGGGGGGGAACTCAGCTAGGTCTAACTTGGATCAGATTAACTGGGGCAAAGAGACAGAATAGCATTTGGACCATTTAGTGAGGCGCCCAATCAACCACTGCCTACAAGCAATATCATTGTAGTTGCATGTTGGTTCCTTTATAATTATAAAGGCAGTGTTTATTTTAAAAATGGGGTGGCCGTTCTCACCAGAAGAGGGGCCACCTCTGACTATTCCAGAGATGTTCACTATTGCATGAAGTCTGTGAATACATTGCAAGGAGATAGTTCATTCTAGCTTCCCTTTTGCCAGCACAGACTGCCTATGGTCCTTGAGAACTTCCTGTTAAGCTATCCATTCACTGTTAGAAAGTTCAGGATGGTGGGAAGGCTGGAGGTGGTTGGTGAGCGGACGGGGGTGATTGCACATGAACCTGACTGAGCAGGGAGAAGAGAAGGAGGGTGCATTAGGAAGCATTGCCAATGTGAAGCAGAGGGTCTTGGCCTCTCAGATCTTTTCAGATTAAATCCTTGTGGTTCTCCCAGCTGCCTCTCTTCCTCCTGTCTTACACCTCTTTTTAATATTTTCTCCCATCATTTTTAAAATGAAGACCTTCTGTGTTACTTATAAGACTTCTGTCCTCCAGAGAAGCTTTAGGCAAAAGTTTGAAGTAAGATAGTTTGTTTTTTCAGAAAAGAACTTTCCCGTGGCCTCTTGTTCTTTTTAGAAGAACAAAATCTGAGGATTAGAGGAGACCAACCTGGAGGGCCAGCAAGTCCATCTATTACTGTGTGTGTCCCATTTCTGGCATCCATTACAAGTGGCCATCTAGACTGCTTGACCACATATCACAACGGGGCAGTCACCACTTTTCAGGAGAGCCCAGTCTATCTCTAGATAGTCCTGACTATTAGGAGTGTTTCCATGTATTAAGTTCCTACTGGGACAAAAATGTGTCTTTCCTTATTGCGTGTGCCTGTTGGTCCTAGTTCTACCACTGGAAACAAACAAGTCTAATCTTTTCCCTACATGCTCGCCTTCCAAGAGATCCATCACATGATCATGTTTCTCCCTATGATCTTTTTTCTTAAGGCTGACCAACTGTTCTTCCCATAACTGTTCTCTGTTATATGGGATTTCAAGTACCTTTATTAACCGGGACACTCGGCTCTAGAAGCTTTAGTTCCTTACATGTTCTTAACTCCACCCCCCTCCATAACCAGGCATAATTTTCTAGGTGTAGAAAATTCAGCACAGAAATAACAGAACTAATAATATCTTTCATTATAAACGTAGAACTTCAGGAAAATCACGTTTATCTTTTGGGAAGACCAACCTATGCTTAGTCACTCTCATGCTGAAACTTATATAATTTATGTATATGAAAAGCCAGAGACTGGAACACATACCACTGACAGCCCCTCCCTATGGCCTGCCCCACCCCCAATCGCCCCCCCCCCCATCTCAATTGGGGGTAGGGCCCGCCAGCCAATTGCCCGAAGCCCCTCCCCGCAGCTGGCCTGACCCTGATAGGGCCGATTGAGGGGGCCAGCCAGCCAACCTCCCACCATCTCCTCCTCTTGACAGGCACAGTCCCCATCCACCCCAATTGGGGCCAGGCCGGCTGGACCCCACCTGTGCACAAATTCACGCACTGGGCCTCTAATAATTTATAATAAAATTGAAATGATAAAGAGTTCTGGTATCTAAATTTTACAAGTGAATTTCAGGCATTAGTACTTGAAATTTGAATGAAAGGATGTGGAGGGATTTATGAATTCCCATAATTATTCAAAACATGTATTTGCTTCACTTCCTATTCATAATGCTAGTACTATCCATTCACTGAAAATTAGTGAGCACAGTAAATCCATATGAGGGGATTATTTGATTCCTTTCTTCCTCTTAAAAATTCATATGCTTAACAAACATTATATTCTGTTTACACACACACACACACACACACACACACACACACACACATACACACACACAGTCTGGGATAAGCACTGTAATGCACACCCAGCCCTCAAGGAGCTAACAGTTTAAAAACTGAAGACGAGCCTTTTGCTCCCCTCACTGAAGGGTGCTGTATATGCCAGTTAATTAAGGAAGAGCAAGAGGTCACCATGTTGGATTGGGTGTCACAGTGAGTTAGTCTGAATAAATTCATAACTTTATTGTTCCAGAAGCACAACTAGAAGCAGAACTCAACTTGAATAAGTTGAAGTTTGAGGGGTCAATCAAAGAATCTCCAACCCCATGTAAAATGACCATCCTAACATAGGAACACACTGAGTCCTGCCTTTATCTCTAGTCACTTATGGGTTCATCAGGAAAGCTGATTATCTCAGAAAATAATGTAGAATATTCTCTTCTCTTTATGTATTTCTAGGTTTAAAGTGAGGATATGGCATATATATATATATATATATATATATATATATATATATTACATATAGTGTACCCCAAAATGTATACACACACTTTATAAAGGCAGTGTTTATTAAAATACATTTAATTTTTACAATTGAGCTATCAGCAGTTACGGTGTGTATACATTTTTTTGGGACACCCTGTATATGTAGATTCCATGTTAGACAAATTTAAAATTTTCAGTCTTAAATTTTAATGTGAAATAAGTGATGACTTTTTATAAACCTATCATAAGCTTATCTACTCATTATTTTCTAAAAACATCTGAATATGTGACAAGTTCCTCAACATAGGCAAGAATAGCTGTCCCAGGCCCTGTGAAATTGCATATTTAGCAAGGGAGTTTGACATTTCTTCTGTCAGCAACATATGTCCCTGACCTACTTCCATTTCTAGTAAGGAAATTTAAAAATTATGACAAATCAGGACAGGCCCAGGAGTCCAAGTCCATAGCCATAAGGTCTGTTACTAAAGGTCTATGTATTAGTAAAACTAAAATTGAGATTTTATCACCTTGTCAGCCTCAGAAAGTTTGAGTTTAATGGCCTCAGGTTAGCCCCAGAAAGTTTGAGTTTAATGACCCTGCCTCATTTAGTTCCCATAAGGGAGAAAATGCAAGACAAGAGACATCTTGAAGCTACCTACTACACAACTTAGAAAATAAATTCAAGATTCCTTAGATTAATGGGAATCAACTTCATCTTTAAGGTTCAGCTCATGGTTGTATTTAGCAACTTACCTAAGAGATTTCAGTCTCAGTATCATTTATTCTTCATCTGAACAATGCTCATAAGCATAGTATTCATAATCTCTCTACTTTAGAATTAAACCAAAGGAGGAGCTCTGGCCAGTGTGGCTCAGTTGGTTGGGTGTCATCCTGTGCACCAAAAGGTTGCTGGTTCAATTCCTAGTCAGAGCACATGCCCAGGTTGCAGGCTTGATCCCTGGTAGGGGACATGCAGAAGGCAGCACGTCAGTGTTCACCTCTCACATCGATGTACCTCTCTCTCCATCCCTCTTCCTCTCTCCATCTCTAAAAATCAATTTTGAAATCTTTTTTTTAAAAATAATAAACTAAAACAAAGGAGGACTTCAGAATTGGTGGCTATATTGAATAATTGGGAATAATTTAAGATTAGTTGCTTTATCTATAAACAAAGGGAGAATTGCCTATTTTCTAATTCCCTCACTTACATAAAATCTTTTTATTTCTCCAACAGGTTGTTTGGTTTTTACAAGGGAATTCTACCACCCATATTGGCTGAAACACCAAAAAGAGCAGTGAAGGTAAGTAGTGTATGCTTCCCACCAAGTAAAGACAGACTACAGTGACAGCTTCAGCGTTAAAAGATCTCACAACAGCCCGTGGGACATAAATTGAATTAAGTATAAGATAAGATGTTTAACGCAGAAATTATGGCATAATTTTATTATAATTAGACTTGATCAATCTCTCAAATATTGGTTTGTGGATTTTTTGGGGAGGGGGGTAAAGGTACTCCTTCCTAATGGGGAAATTATATAAAAAAGCACAGTGGAGAATGAAATTCGTGTATCAAAACACAACAGCCACAATATAGTTTGCACTTTTTCTCAAAGCAATTCATCAATTTTTCTTTGGAGCAATAATTATTAAAGAAAGAGAGAGGAGAGCAAACTAATACACTATATATGAACAGAGTAAACTAATACACTATATTTCCCTGATATGATTCTCATATAACACATTTCTTTGTCATGCCAACTTCATTACCCTTCCCCACCTCTGTTAAAAGTTTCTATTCTGGTTTTTACAAAATTATTACTTCCATTTCCCTGTTTCCATCTTTTTAACCACATAACTATGGAGTCTATGTACTACTTACTGCTTCAGTATCTGGATAGGAACACAGAGGACTGGCAGGATTCTCTGAGGGAGAAAGAACTGAATTTGATCACTTTTTTATATGTTCTTTCAGACAAAAATCCTGATCACAGTGACTCTAACTAGCACTGACCCCCACATCCAGACCACTGGCAACACTTATTATGTTTCCATAATAAGGAAACATAAACTTAGACTGAAAGACTTCCTTTCCAACTAATGACACAAAGCTTTTTGTCACATACATTACTCAAATAATACTCCCCATATTCCTGGAAGGGAAGGGGCAACATTATATATATCAGCAAGTTAAGAGGGTGACTAGATTAAAATTTATGATAAAATAACCTCATGTATACAGAGACACCAAACTTTTACATTATGTCAAAACAGTAATTTAATAGGATTTAATTCAGATCTAGAATTCAGAAAACAAAGCTTTAAAACACACTTTCTCTGTAAATTCATCCTCTTTGTTGCCATAGTTTTTGTGATTTTTGTATTATATCTTCAATACAAATGTCATTATAAGGATCTGACTACCAGAGAATCTGGAAAAAGTTCACCAAAGTACACAAGAGGCTGAATGAGATTATGAAACTGCCTCACTTGATAAAAGATTGCCCAAGTAAACAAACAGAGCAGAGTTCCTGTTTTAAGAAAAAAAAAAGCCACTTTGTCTCCATGGAATAATATATTCATTTGTTCAGTGTTTTACATGTATAAATAAAATAAATTGTAATTAAAGATTTTCCTGGAATATTTTTTCTTAATACTATACATTGGAGACCATTTAAACTTTAAGATGATTAAGGTTTATCAATGTTGAACAGTCTTTTACAGAAGAAAAAAAAAAGTTGAGCTTTACAAAACTTAGTCTCTATTTAAAAGAAAGCAATGCTCGCTGCCAGTACAATGGTTAACAGATGAACTTTTTGGGCAACTGGCTGTGGTATATGGGTCCCAGACATCTTGTTTCAAGTAGTTGTTACCTTAAAATTATTGAGACATATGGTAAGTATGTTGGCTTTTTTAAATATAACTTGGAGTTAAAAGTGTATCTTTGCCAGATGGATAGCACTATTTTTAACACAATTTATGAAAACATTCACTTTATAGATATTTATCTTAGAATTTGTGAGGAACAATTTCATACATCGTAAACTGCTTCATTGCATGTCATCAAAGTTTACTTCAGAAAAAAATATTCACAGACCATATATATGTGTGTATACACACACGTGCACACTTATACATATATGTGGTCTATGAATACTTCATATATATATGGGCATAGATATAGATCGTCCTTGGTACTGACATGTCAGTTGCAATTGTTACTATAATCAGAAACAGACAATGTTAAGTTTTTTCTGCACTTTATTCTTTGAAATGAGATTCATCATTAAAATAATAAGACTCACTGATGCTAAATAAATGAAACTTCCTCTTTTACAATTTAAGAGCATTAGTACTACAGTTAGCAAAAGGAAATGAAGACCTCAGAAAGAAACCAGCTGGTTCCTCAGAAATGGGAGGCGCCATGTCCCAGGTTCCAGGGTCTGGTCTTGAGCATCACAGTTCCAGGAACACCATTGTTTCCATGATCAGATTCTCAAGGACTAACAAACTCATGAGAAATTATAAATTGTGAAGGCTGTTTGCTCACCACTATCTCTATAGCTTTCATAGTGTCCACACAGCAGATGTTCAATCGATATTGTATGAGTAAATGAAACATATGTAGAGAAAAACAGAAAGAAAATTTATGGGTTTAATAACATTAAACAAACATTTCTATCCAATTCCCCCAAATTAACACATCTACTGTTCAGAACTTTTGGAAGACCAAGACTTCCATTTCCAGCCAAGATGGGGTAACACAAGGACCAGAATTCCTCTCCTGCCTGCAACAGCAACAACAAGAAATAAACAGAATATGAACCACAATTTTCAAGATATTGACATCAGACAAGGAAGGATAGAAAGATGGGAAACAAAGGAGATGAGCCCTAGGGACTGCCCACCTTACTGCCTGGAAAGGGTTTCCAGGTCCAGCCAGGCCAGGGAAATATAGGCAGAGCCCAGGGGGTTCCCTGGGTTGAGAAGGAGTTGAGAGACTGGGGAGGGCAAGGCAGCTCGAATTCATTGGACAAAGTAACAAGAGAGAGCTGCACAGAGAGAACTCTAAGGGTCTGCAGAGGGATGCCTTGAGTATTCAGCTGAGAACTGACCAGTGCCTGCATGTGAGGAAATTAGCAAGGCCTGAGAAAGAGCCATCCAGGAATTACAGGGAGCAGTGCTGAGAATAGTACCTGTTCCCACCAGCCAAACCAGAAGGCTCCAAAATGCACTGGGCATCGAGAGGAGTACTCAGAGGGGTTTGCCTCCATAGTAATGTAATCACAGAAAGTCAGAAAACACACACACACACACACACACACACACACACACACACACACACACGCACACACACCTTTATACCAAAGAGAAAATGGTAGGGAGGCCTTCTGTGGGGTCCATCATCTCCCAGAACTTCTCTGAACCCAGCGAGGACCCCTTAGAGTAGTGTTTCCAAAGTGTGGGTCATGACCCATGGGTCATGAAATCAGTTTAGTGAGTCACCAGAATTTTTTTAATAAATAGAATAGAAACAGAGTTACACATTGTAAAGAGGTAAATATTGTTTTATAACGATGTTTCGTTTGGGTTATAAATACAAAGGTGCACTGTGTGTGTGTGTGCGTGCATACACCTGTGTTGGGCAAATATTTTTTATGTAGATTGCGGTCAAAAAAGTTTAAAATCTGCCTTCAGGGACTCTGGGCTTCCAGGTCAGGGAAGGCAAAGATCCTCAGCAGCAAGAAAACTCCAGGGCAGTGATCTCTACCCAAACCACTAACAACCGTGGCTCTGCAGCGAGCGAGTAGAGTATTGTGTTTAAGAGCACACACAGGCCTGGGAGTTAGACTTAAGGGGAATCTTCGCTTTCCCACTCACTGACTACAGGACATTTATCTGTAAAATGGGAATCATGGCCGTGTTATAACTGTGATCTGATGATGTTTAATGGGTTAAATGCAGGAGCATATGCTAAGACTATGACCTTAGCCTGTTTCCTGGACCACAGCAGGCTCTCCTGGGTGATACAAATATATAACTAAGGCAATTATGATTCCTTTAGTAGCCAAAGTGAAGACAGGGAATGGAAACTAAAATTTTCTAAACGTCTCCAATATGCCAGGCATGTCAGGAAATCTTATTTAAATGCTCTTATTTAAAGACTGCTCTAAACGGTGAGCTTTCTGTTCTCGAGGGTTAGAAAGGTCAGGCGACTCACCCATACTTTCACAGCTGAATAGTGTAGCCAGGATTCAGACCCAGAACTGCTTCTGTCAAAATCCCAGTAAGGTAATTGTCTAAAACAGTGAAGGTGATGACCATAAAAAAGGAGAAAAATAAATTATCTTTAAAGCTCAAAACTGTAATGTGTTTCCTTTCATGGTTAATGGTTTCTAGTGCAGCTCTCATCAAAAACGTGGTGGTCCCTGGTGGTATTATTGTAACGCCAGGATATAGTTTCAGGGTTATCACCATCCACTGGAATGTTAGATCAAGAAGGCAGGGTTCTCTTTGTTTACTACTGCATCCCCAGTGCCTCTTAGAACACAGGAGGCATCCAAGAAAATATTTGTTGAGTGAGTAAATGAAGGAATCCTATTTCTAGAAAAATCTACAAACATAGTTAACCTAAAGGAGCATGACACAAAAGTAGTTCATGGGTCTTTAAAAGACTGGATATCTATCTGGGGTTGTAATGACCCTTGGGATGCCCAAAGACTCATTTGAGCCATGTCTACACCACAGAACTACCTCTTTCTAACAACAGAGTATTATTTGGCCCCAAACTCTACATTTTTTTCTTGCTTCATTTTACTGGGTTAAAAAGTAATAGAGTAGAAGACATATGCAATTACAAAATACCCAGGCCATTTCTGGAGTCTTGGGAAACAGACTAGCAGAACCTAAGAGAGTGCCTTATCGAAGCTGCTTATGGCTGCCTAACGGAGTACCCAGGAGTAAAGCATCATGTTCAAGCAGAGTTGTTGCCCAAAATGTTTGGGGTGAGGGGATATAATGTATTTATGGTATGTTATTCAAAGTGATTAATTAGATTTGCCTCCTTAGAAACTCATTTTCAGGAAAATTATATGAAGCATCATCCACTGGAGGAGCCAACAAAATCATCATCATCATCATCATCATATTTTAAAGGAGGGAATAAGCAACTGTCCTCTGCTCAGGTGGACAGTCTGCCTTTAAGCAGGGATGGGCTGGATGACCTTATTGAGTCCTTTCCTAGTTTATAATGACATCTCATCATCACTGAGTGTTGGGAAATTTCTTGGAACAGTAGGTATACACAGCAATACAAATGCAAGTTAAGCTGAGAAGTGGCTGTCTTTTACAAGTCAGATAGATAATTGGGCGTTCACTGGGAAAGCAATTCATAGAGAACAGAGGAGACTGAAGATTTCAGGTCTCTACGCCTATAATTCTGAATCACTGCCATAAAAAAGAAGTCTATTGATGTCTGGGGAAACTGAAAATGGTCATGGTAAATGGAGGCTGTATGGTCCATTTACTGCTATAAAGGATCCCATCAGCTCCTCTGTCGGTTATTATAGCTGCATTTGAAAATGTGAATGTTAAAGTAAGATCCAATAGCATCTACCGGAGACCAGATTAGAAACTGTGTTCGATAGTTCATCATTTTTAAATGCTGTTTAATATAATGATTCACTAAAGAAATTTGAGTCAATTAAAGGGTTTGTTGCAGGAAATTGCTATAAATCTCTGGGTTTGGTTTTGTTTCACAGTTTTTCACCTTTGAGCAATATAAGAAATTGCTAGGATATGTGTCACTGTCGCCAGCATTGGTAAGTGAGAATATTTATTATACTTGAGTGTGTGTGTGTTATTTCATAAAACAAAATCTGGAAACAAAAAGCCTTTTGAATCCCCAAGCCCGACTACTAAAATATGAATTCGAGTTATTCAATGTTCAGCTACTTGTTGAAAGCCATCTTCCTAATAACTCACAATTTGGCTATTTTATAGCACCCAGTGATGAATTTATTATAATAATGATATGTGTAGAAAGGCTCATATGATATATGGTCAAGAATGTAAAATAAAGAATACATTTGTCAGACTCTTTTAAAGCCAAGACATGCATGTTTATATACTGCACATATCTATGCAAAAGTCAAGATGCCTAAAACTATTTCCTAGCAGGTTACTTTTCCAGCTTTTACTTAAGCTGTAGTAAACATAGGGCTTCAGGCGACTCTGTGGTCATATGCGGACTGAAGAGTCTTTTATAGTCAGGGAGAATAATGATCTGACAATGACACATCTCAACGATTACATGAAAACCACTTGGTAATTCGAATGTTTCCTACCGTCTCCTTTCCTTCTTGGTGACTTTGCGGCTTTTCACAAAACGAGTTAAATAATATTGACCAAGTACATGCTACAATATGTGCGTGTGCTATGAGAGCCCCAGAGAGAGCAAATGCACTAATTTCTCCCTTTGCATCTGCAAAACAACACAAAACAAAGTCAAATCTGCGTTGCCCCGCCAATTGAAAACTCTCCTCAACTCAACCAGAGGCAGTGTTCTGAGCTTCAACTCTAATTACTTTACTTGTAAAGGTTCATTTCAGGATATTTACTTTGCCAAATAGGCTGTCCAAGAAGTATCTGTTGTTTAAAAAGTCATGCATGTCCCTTTTCAAGAATGATCCTATTAAAAAAAACTACTAGTATGGCTTAGTGTTATGACAAAGAAACCTCTTGTCTAGTCTCCTACCTAAACAAGGTGGCTCTGAGGTGGCCTCATATAAAAGAAATGGTACCATGAGTCCTAAAATTAGGTAAGTTATTTTTTTTTAATTCCTTAGTGTCTCCCCTTAATGTCACTCTTAACTTTAAAAACAAGTTGTTCAAAAGAGAATTAAAAACCTTTCTAGCAAAAGACAATAAAATATGGTCTCCAGAGGGCCAGCTGGCGGCTCCTGTGTGGAGCATTGGTACCATGTGAGAAAACGCAGTTCTCTCGACTCTCTTGGGAATTGAAGCAGAAAGCCTTTGGCCACTCCAGCTACCATAACCGAATGCATGCAAACTGTATACAGTTTTCCCTTTCTCTTGAACTCATTATTCCAGTTTCTTTCTGATACAGCTAGACACTTAAACCGCCATTAACTGTTCCTGGTGCTCCCACATGGAAAGCCTAGGAGGCGGGGATCCCCACAGTTACTGCTGGCCTCTGGAACAATCTGAGTAACGTGATCTGCTGATAGCTGATCAGTTCTTTTGACAAGGGACTGCTGAACACTATTTCTGACAGCAAATGTAGCTGAGTTTATAGAACAAAAAAGTGAATTACTTGGAAGATTGCATATAGTAATAAAAACCTGAACATCTGGATTTCAGCTTTTTCAGTCAGAAAAGTTTGGGACTACTATTTTTTTTTTCCTGCTTTTGGCTTCCATGATGGAAGCCCAAGATACATGAACAAGATATTTGATCTTTTACCCTATGCAAACCTGTTTAAAATTGAAATGAAAGGACATGAAAGAAAAACATGATTAGTTTCTCCCTCTCTCCTGGAATCTGCATACAGCACCATTCTTCCTGTCCATCTGTATGTGCAACAAGAGTGGTTTTTGTAAAGTACTTGACAAAGGGCTTTCACACATGACTTTGACCCCCATAATATTCTGATTAGGTAGGGGCATTTCATATGATTTTCTCCATTTTACAGATGAGAAAACTGTGGCTTACAAAGGATTCAGTGATTAGACGCAGAGCTGCAGCTAGCACATATGGTGTCTTTATGTGAATTACAAAAAGGCACCTCTTTCTTCTGACTGACACCTCTCCAGGGCTCCAGCCTGGCAAGTGGGGTGCAGGCTGGACTGCAGGCTCCACACATACTTTTGTACATGGCAGCGCTGGTCCAAATCAATCAATAAATGGCAGAACCAGGGCCTAAACCCAGACCCACTAGCTCTGGATCCTTGCCTCGCATTCTAAGGTTATAGAGCATTCCTTTGTCCCTTTTTGCTTTTAGTCTCCTATTGGGAGAAAGCAGAGACTTCTGAAAAGTTACCTGTTCTTTACTCTTAATTGGAATTTTTCAACTCTTAGCTGTATATGGTACCCTCTCTTCTCTGAGAATTAGGGCTTTGGAACTAAAGAATTAATTTTTTTAGTGTCTGTTTTGCAGATTTGAGGCTTTGTTTCATTTTGTTTTCCTGCTGTGTGTGTGTGTGTGTGTGTGTGTGTGTGTGTGTGTGTGTTAATTATTGTGGTTATTTTTGATACAAATTTTCTGAAAAATCTTTAAGTGTTCTATTTACAGAAAAAGCCTAGAAAGTTCTTTCCTACTGCAGAAATTCTTAAGAGATAGCAAATAAATCATTTGCTACATGTTCTAGATTTTAGTTGAGGCCTTAAGAAAAACATAGCCATTTCTGGTTCCATTCCTCAGCTTCTAGGTCTGGATGACTAGTGCATATGTCAGGTTTATAAAACAGGGGAAGGATGAATAAAAAATAATTTTGGGGGATAGTAGTCTAGAATAGTGGCTTTAAGAATACAGCTATAAATTTAAATGTTGTAGCTATACTGTTTAGTTACCTGAAATTTTGCCTTTTTAAACACTTTATTTATGGTTCTTGAATTTTTTAATCTGCCCAATAAATGTATTTAAGTAGATATTTTACAATGAAGCTCTCCTTTTACAAGTCAAACTCTCTTTTAATTGTCCCATGTGCAGATGATTTAGTATTCACCTTAAATCAGTAAAACAACCTTTCTTCTCATTAAAAGTCATTTTTGATGGGGCCTTGACATTCTATTTTGAATTGTTAGGATGTGGTTTGCAGCTTCTGTAATTTCTTCTTCATGAATTGTCAGCATCTAATCAAGAACTAAAGCTGTTTAGTAATGGTATATGGTGCATTTATATAAGTTTCTCCATTTTCATCATCACATTCAGTTGCACTGTATTGTGAGTAGGATGCTTAACTTAGTGCACATGATAACTTGTTTTAAAGTATTGATTTATTTAATTTTCTAGACATTTGCCATTGCTGGACTGGGGTCTGGACTAACAGAAGCCATCGTGGTTAATCCTTTTGAGGTAGTAAAAGTTGGCTTGCAAGCTAATCGGGACACATTTACAGAGGTAATCATTTAAGGTTTTCCTATTGTTGAAGGAATATAAGATAAAATATTAAAAGTATATATAAAAAATTATGAACCCAGCCCGGCCACATGCTCAGTGGCTGAGCATCAAACTATGACTCAGCAGGTCCTGGTTCAATTCCCCGTCAAGGCAGATGCCCGGTTGGGGGCTAGATCCCCAGTGTGGGGCGCACAAGAGGCAACCGATCAATGATTCTCTATCATCATTGATGTTTCTAGCTCTCTCTCTCCCTCTTCCTTACTCTCTAAAATCAATAAAAATATTTTAAAAAATTCTGAACCCAGTTCTTATCCCTTGCTAAGTCATATAAAATTATTGTTAAAGAAGTAGCATAAGAAAACGTCAAATTTCTCCCACAAGGAAAACGTTAACAAAAATGCTCTAAATGGTGGGGGCTTGCCCGGGGTGGGAATGGCTGGGGAGAGGGTTTTAATCAGGGAAAAAAGGAGACATATGTAAAACTTTAGACAATAAAAATAAATAAATAAATGCTCTAAAGTCTGATGAACAAATACATATTTACACATTTTTATTTTAGAGTTTTAATGTAATGTCTGATTTATTTGGAAATGTTTTCTCTACATTTGGCAACACTTCTGTTTCACGTTATAGTAGAATAGACTATAGCAAAAACCACTGAGATGATAGTATTATTGTTTCTAAAAAATTTATGAAGTCATTTTTAGAAATTACCTCACTCCTTTCCCTACTCCACCCTCGGCCCTCCTTCAAAGATTCTGGTAATCTGTCAAGCTTGTCTTTTGGTTAAGTCTGAATGAGCAAGTTACTAAACCTGTGTAGACATCACTACTTGGACTATGATGGGTCTTGACATTTAATCGCTGGTACGTACTGTTCTGTGAAGACAGCTTCCCTAGGTGTGTGCTGCCTTCACTTCCTTCCAGTTGCCTAATAATTCCCGTTATCACCAAGTCCAACTGTTCTTGCTTTATTCTTTTGGGTGTCAAGCACAAGGTAGAGAAAAAATAAGGGAATTGGTATTCCGGATCCTTCCTTAGCATTTTAATTTAATTCCACAACTGGGTAGCATGTGGTTTAAATTGGTTTGGAATATCTGCTGGCCTGAATTTCTCTGTAGAAGAGTTCCCCTGCCTACTACTTAAGCAGCTGCTAGTGGGTGGAGACCCCCTCACTCCCACCCCACTTCCTGCCTTCTGAGAGCTCCCTGCCAGCTTCTTGAGCAGTGGTGTGTGTGGGGAAGGAGAGGGCCTCTACTCACCTGTAGCTACCAAGGCCTGAGGAGGACAGGGTTGGCCCCCTACAGCAGATGGTATCTACTCAGGTGAAGTCCATCCTAATTAAGGGAGATTTTTTTCAAGTTTCAAAAGATTGTCTTAATTGCAGTGATATATAGCACTTCAGAAAAGGCTGAAAATCCCTACGTTACCCTAGTCTGTGTTTCTGTTTTGCTTTCTTTCTGTTCTTCCTTAATGATGGAAAGAGATGGTGAGGAATAGGAGGAAATGAAAGAAATACCTTTCAAACGCCCTATCAATGGAGCATTTAAAACAACGCCTATGGAATCTGCTCAGGGGAAATTTTATTTGTTAGGCTGGGAGAATTACCAGCTAGGAGTAAAGTTTGGAACTCCCCATCCAATTCCTCATTTTACCTATTGGGAAGCTTGTCTTAGAGCAGCAGTGAGTAAGCAAAGGAACAAACATGCCTTCAACTGCAGCCCTTTATCAAGGCAGCATGTAACCAGAGGGACATACCTGGCACCGAGCGCCAAGGAGTGCTCATAGGGCTGAAAATAATGAGTTGTCACAGCACCTCTGCTCATACCTAACTGTCTTTTCTCTCCTCTGCCCTCACTGAGGTTCTACGCTGAGGCCAAGTGAGAGCTGTTAATGTTTTGCATGCGTGCAGGCCGTGCTAGAACGTGGTGAACAGCCTTCCAGCCCAGCATGAGGAGGCTGTGTGTGTGTGTGTGTGTGTGTGTGTGTGTGCTCCCAGCTCATTTACACGAGTGCACTCTGTGTAAATTGTTTATGTGCATGCAGCTGTTTTTTAAGTGGAGAAGAAAGAGGCACTTGTTTGGGATCATTTCTTTTGCATAATCCACTGAACTGACTCATTGGTAGATATTTACTTAGAGTGAAAGCTACTAGGTACATTGTAAAATATTTTCAATATTCCTTTAACTAGTCAGAACTTAGCAAAGAAAGGATCACATGGGTCACATGTGCCAACAACTATCAAGATTCAGTAGCTGAACTGAGGTGGCCCTTTATATGCAATATTGATCAAATTGAAAGTAGTTATGGTAGTACACAGTCACACAACATAAACTATGCCTATTACAAAAAATCTGAAAGAGATGATGCGGGAAGAAGAGCAAATTTGGATCTAGTTATTTAAAACTACCCATCACTTTTGGTCATACAGCCATTCCCTATATGTATGTTTAGGACCCATTAACTCCAAAGCCTTTGTCCACTGACTAGCCTTTTCTTTTCTCCAATAAGGGGGTACCCCTGTGTTGAATATAAACAAATATTAGGTGTGCTTGCTTTAGCATTTGTATGGCCAAGAATAATTATTGCTATCTTCACTCTGAGGCTTTGTAGATTATCAAGAAGTATGAGGGTTGGGGGTTGGAGAAGGAGAGGAGGAAGAAAAAAAGAAAGTGAGGAAGAAAGGAATTCATGTAATGCCCAATGCATTTAAAAATTATACTTCTTTTTTAATTTCTTTATTAATTAAGTTATTACATATGTGCCTTTATCCCCACATTACCCCCACATCCCCCCCCCCACTCATGCCCTCACCCCCCCCCCCGTTGTCTGTGTCCATTGGTTAGGCCTATGTGCATGCATATAAATCATTTGTTTGATCTCTCCCCCTTCCCCCCACCCTCCCCTACCAATGCATTTAAAAATTATACTTTTTTTAAGAAAAATGTTTGAATTCAAGTATAAAGGTAATGCAAATTAATGTTAGAAAACACCAAAAATATGTATTTCTGTGTATACATATAAGTGTATAAATGTACTAAAATGATCTAGAGCAGCACTGTCCAATAGAAATGTAATGTGAGCCGCATGTCCTAATAGCTATATTAAAAAATGTAAAAAGAAACAGATGAAATGAATTTAATACTATATTTTATTTAACCCAATATATCCAAAAAAGTATCATTTCAATATTTAATCACTCTAAAAATTATATAATTTACACTATATTTTTATACTTAGTCTTTAAATCTCATGTATATTTTATGCTTATAAGCACATTTCAATTTGAACTAGAGCATTTCAAGGGCTGAATAGCCACATGTGGATAGTCATGTCCTTATAGGAAAATGCATGTCTAGGGGAATTAATACAAACTTTTCACTGGAAAAGAGATTGGAGTTGGGGAGAAGAAAGCAAGAATTTTAAGGAAATGGCTTTGTGTAGTTGAATGTTTAACATGAGAACACATTAAGTATTCTGTGAACACTTACTCTAAAAGTTGCTCACCATATAAGACTTAGAAAATACAGAACAATAACAAGAAAAGTAATTAATCCAAAAGAAGTGTTCTAATGGCTCTGCCAGGATCAAGCCTGCCTTAGGGAGAACCTTCCCAACTGATCCTGGTAGGAATGACTTGCTAGCCCATTTAGGACTCAAACTGTTCCTCTTTTGTTAGGAAAGGATAGTAGTAATGGTCACTTCAAATGGTGTCAAGCTGTCAATACAGTCTGACATATAGTGATGGTTTAATGTGTTCGTAGTTATTATTACAAGATGCTTTGGATGCACATTTAAATGTGATGATATATGCAGAAGTCTTAACACAGCACCTGGTATATGATAAGCACTCAACCAAAGATAACTATTTCTAGATGCAAGTTGATCTTATAAATCCTTAATTAAGTTCAAGTAGAGACAGGTTATCTTGAGATTTTGACCTGATTAATACTGAGCATCACTAGTGACACCAGTGTGGGCATGAAAACAGCTTACTGAGCAATGGTCAGGCTGCTTCTTTAGGTCATTCTCAGCTGCCAATAGGATCCATTTAGCCTGAATTCTTTAGCAGGGCCTAAGGGCTGGCAGCCTAGTTCCAGTGCCTATTGACAAGGTCTTTAAACACAGGTCCACTATCTTCAATACTAGTTGGGTATCTGCTTGCTGTAAATAAATAGCATGTAACAGCAGAAGTTAGAGATGACACTAAAAGCATTTAAAGCAGAATGAATTATACCTGAATCAAGACATTTTCCCTCTGGAATAATCATATAAAGTTAATGTGGGTTATTGATCAAGCCTTCTTAGTCACATCACATGAAGGCTGCGAACTAGTAAGCTCATTTTCAGCCTTTTCAGTCAATTACAGCTACCAGCTGTGGTGGAACACTGAATGGATAGGTGGCTGCAGAATCATGGCTTGACACCTTTAAGGAAAGCAGAGAAGTTTCCTCAGAGGCTATTTTGCAGGTAGATAACTCTTGTTCTGCCAGTGCTGTGAGTTTCTGTGGCAGCATGTCTCCCCTCCTGGGTGTGCACCACCCTACATGCTGCACAGTAATTGTGTTTTTTCCTATTTTGTCAGCTTGAGGAGGGGAGTCACAAATTAGTCCTTCAAACATGAAAATTTCCTAAAAAGTTGTGGTAGTTGAGAGGGGCTCTTCAGTAGAAGACATACTAAGGCAGCAGTAGTTAACATTACACTCAAGTCTTAGAGGCGACAACAGAGTGATGAAGGAGCAAAGGACTGCCATGGTTCCTGGTGCACAGAGCATGGTCTAGAACAGTGATGGCGAACCTATGAACTCATTTTTTTGGTTGATTTTTCTTTGTTAAATGGCATTTAAATATATAAAATAAATATCAAAAATATAAATTTTTGTTTTACTATGGTTGCAAATATCAAAAAATTTCTATATGTGACACGGCACCAGAGTTAAGTTAGGGTTTTTCAAAATGCTGACACGCCGAGCTCAAAAGGTTCGCCATCACTGGTCTAGA